AAAAGCCGATGACTACTAGAGAATTTACCTACTATAAAACGACAAGTAGGAGTACCCAGAAAGCCTGGACGTACCTTTGCTTTCAGGAGTTTGGCTGGTCCAGAACCTTCTTCTTGTAATCGCGCCTTGAAGCGGGGATCAATAAGGCTGCAGATCTGTAGGGTCTCAAAAACTTCACCTTCCTGGGGAAATATGTCCGCAAGCCTCTGCGATACTGCCCTCTTGAATTCCCGTACTGTGTCCACGGCGAACGTACTCTCGTCTCGTCCTTCCGTGGACAGGTAATTTTCTCGAAGGTTTAGCAGGATCGGCCAAATCATCGAGGCCGTGAGGATAACGTTCTTCTGGTGGATGAATTCCAGTGTTTGGTTCAAATTCTGAAGGAAAGAGAGAGGTAAATCGATTTAGAAGAAGCCGAGATAGGTGGTGATAACCCTACGTTTTACGTCGAAAAGGATTCCTATGCTCAAAATAGTTTGTTGACCCGTTAACAATATAATCAGGAAGACGATGAAGATCCGTGAGATGGCAGTAGTAGTAGTAGTAATTCGATCGTATATCATTGTCAATATACCCGATCGAAACCGACAAGACAATGAGCTCATGGTTAGGGTGATGGACTTCCGATCAATATTTCGTGGATGGTGCAATGTCTGGGGTTGGGGATGGCTGACTGATGACGGCTAATAAGCCAGAAACGACCATTTTCAGTCTCCCTTGTCTTTATAGGTTATAAATTTCTGCCTATATTACTAGTCACTGTGGGGCTGCTGGCGGGGCTCCAGAGCGAGCCCTAAGGCACAACGAGGCAAGAAAGTCCTGTAACCCATAGATGAAAGTCCGTCTGCCATTGTTAGTAGCGGTGGCACAGTGGAACCCCGGTTAACGATTTTAATCCACTCCGGCACCGAACTCCTCATGTGACATGTTCGTATTGCGAAACGTAGCTAATCAAACTGTATCAGTTCCGTGATTGGCTGAAGCCGACCAAGGACCCACGCCCTGGGAGCAAGACTCAACGGCGGGCACAGGCACACACACGCGCACTGACAACTCGTTAACTGAACGGCAGCTCGTCAACCGAAATTAATTTTCTGTTAGTGGCTCGCTCATTACCTGAAATGCTCGTAAAGGGGGTTCCTCGTCACCCGAGGCTCAACTGTAGTCTCCGTTAGCGTTTTGGGTGTTGTCATGAGAGTCAGCCAGGACCATATATGAAACAAAGGAAATTACTTTACCGTTTTTTTTCAGTCTTCTGCTTCCGAGCCTAAACCCGTGAAGACTATGATTGTATAT